AATTAAAGCCACAGTGTCATTGGACGTCAACTTAGATTAGGGTCAGGTGGATTTTAGTTGTTCTGAAACAAATAACGTTCTGACTTTTTTTTATCAATAAGGAGCTTTACTTTTAGAATTTGGAATTTGGGCAGGTTGATCTGTGCAAAACCAACTTCAATGTGCGACTATGAGTAACTCAATAACTCACCAGACTAGATTTGTTTTATTATTATTATTTCAGGTCAGTGAAATAAATGTTAGGATCATTAAAAGGTCGCAGTTTAATTGAAAAATTCTTAGTTTAAGTTCTTTCAAGTCAGATTTTTTTTTCTGATTTTAGGGTTAGCCAATTTATATGATACTTTTAGTCAATATATTATGCCTATGATGCTAGAAAGTAAACCATTAAAGTCAAAATTCATAACTTTAAAACAATAAAAATGTAAATGTCGAACTTCTGACATAAAGTTCTTTAATTCCTGGAATTCTTTAAATTACCAGTACAATTTAGTCTGACTCAAATTTCAACCTTCTATTGTTATAGTATAGAGATGTGAAAACATTTCAATGTGTCCCTGATCCTCTCCTGTTTATCCACACTATCAACAACACTACTAAGGATTTGCTCAGACAGTGTCGTCTCCCTCAGTCCTGCACAGTTGTGTGTGCTCTGCTACTGCCATCATTGTACTTCTTCCAGTCCTGGCCTAGGTAGCGCACTCCCGTTCTTTAAGCATCCTCCTTCGTCAATCTCTCTCCCATGATGCATCACCTTTTAAAGATGAGCACTGATTGCCTACACTCTACCCCCTCGTGCCTCGATCCTCTCCTTTGTTTTAGCGCCTGTGGTCAGAAAAAAGTCAGACGAAAAAAAAAACTCTGATGTCTCCTGTTGCCTTCGCTGAGAACAGCCACACACTTCACCGTCTCCCACGGGCTAAGACAGGACCTTCAACTTAAGTATTGGTCTTAGCTCTTATTCCGACTCACGCCTGCCACCTTTCGTCTGACTGTGATGCTGTAACATGAAACTGATCCTGGGACAAAGGACGGAACAATAACTTAAACTCTATTCACCTTCTCTAATGCCTTTTTAAATATTTGTTAATTTAATGCTTCGTTGTGTAAAAAGTCCCGCCTGAACTATTTATTTATGCTGTAATATCACTCAAAACTGAATTAATGTTAGATTATTGTCTTTATAGGGATGTGTTTTTAATCTGAAGTCTTACGTCCAAATCTACCTTCCAAATGTCATTATTGATCTCAGCCTCTGTGTACAACTGCAAACTGTTTTTGGTTTTACTACAACCCCCTCAACCCCCCCACCATCCACCACTGTCTGCTCATCTGTGTCGTTGTCAGTGTCGTACAACAGACTGGCCACTGTGATCGTTTCAACCATCTGCTCTAGATAAAGGTAGATTCCCTGAGTTTATGCACAACCCAAACCTCGCCTACTGTTCCACTCCAGGTTGTATAATATGTATGATAACTAGAGAGAGAACAAACTTTGGTTCCCATTTAATTTATTGTGACGTGTGATGACCGATGGCGGACCAGACCGGCACACCTTGTTGTCTTTGAGAAGCCAAACTGTACGGTGCAAGAGTAGAGGAGTCTTTAAATGCGACTCGGAGATCTGCTTGGGCTTTCTGTCTGTCTGTCTGTCTGTTGGTGGTCGGTGTAACTGCATGTACTTTCCATAGCACAACTCCACCCATAACCTCCTGCCCTTTAGTTTCTGTATATTGGAAAGTAAATGCAACAGATTTAATTTTGTTTTGTGCAACAGCCTGAAAATATGGAACATATTGCTCTATTTTAAAGTCTGCATTTATTGTACATGACCAAGATTTATCGTTTTCATACTGTGGTCACTGGGTGAGCCCCTCCTCCGACCCCTTCCCCTGTGGCCATTAGAAGAGCCTAACTGTAACCTCTGGGGGGGATTCCAGTGTTGTCTAGTTTAACGGACATGTAACACAAAGCTCGCGATGAGACTTGCTGACCAACTACAAACATTTTTACCTTCCTCAAATCTTTTCGACTCTTGTTCCTGTTAGATATTCAATGTTCTGCTTGTAGAACTGTAAAAAAAAAAAAAAAAAAGAAGGAATAAACTGTATTCTGAGGGCAAACATGTTTGGAAGGCATTTGCAGCCTATGTTTGTACACAAAAAATGTTAAATAAAAACTCCTGTATCTGCACAAAATGGCATTTCTGATTTTAATATTTTTGGAACTGTATTTAACATTTCATCCAAGAAGTTTCTTAGGTTCTACAAAGTAGGGGGAACATGACAATAATAATATAATATTTTCAACCCTGTTCCCCAGGGTTGAAAATACTAAATACCCTTTCAAATGTCTTGCCATAACTTATAAATAACGAAAACGTGGGAGATACTCAGAACTTTTGCCCTTTATGGTCTTTGACTCAAAGCCAGGTCCCTGATCTCTGTGTAGTCGCTCTGGGAAGGACATTTTCAGCCAGTAGAATCTGGCTCTTACCAGACCCACTCAACTCTTATATGGCCCAAATCATTATGGAAGTTCTGCAGAGCCATTGGTCTTGACCCTTCAAGGAGCACAAGCTGGATGTTGGGTGTTGTTGGGTCCATCTTGCCACCATTGGTAGTGCAGTCTACCCTGCAGCCCCACAGGGTTGACATCAGGTGTCGGTCACAGGCAGTACGAACTACCTCCTGGGGAACATTGTGTGGTAAATTGCCGGAGTCTCTCTCTTTCTTGCTGTGATGCACAGTTGCCCCCTTGAGGAGGACGCATTCATAGCAAACAAGGCTAAAACCTAACCAAGAAGACTGTAAAAAGTTCCCACAGACTTGGTATCGAAAAGACATTTTCGATACCAGCACCAATACCAATACCTTAACAACACTTTTTTTAATACCATGTGTATGTACCTTCAGTCACTATGACAACACTTTACATGGTGTTGATCAGAAGGCTGGCTTTTTTGAAGATACTTCACAAACACTGTTGCAGCTGTTGTTGTCAGAGTTGCACATACACATGAACTCCGTCAGTGGTCGTAACCACAAAATATTGCCGGGAACCATGTATATATTTTTTCCTGCTTGCCGCAATTATGTGTAACATTACAGCCAAGTGCCGACAGCATGATCAGATCTTGATCACGTGATCAAGCTACCGAAACCTGACACCGAAAGCCTAGCCAGTTTTTTGATACTACGAAGCATTTCGCTCAGCGCCATGGAAGAACAGAAGTTCGGTACCCAGGCCTACATGAGTTCGGCAAAAGATTGGTCCGACATATGATAAAAATGTCCAGGATGTCCAAATGACCTCTACCAGGAAGGTCACAGCAGTGGTCTAAATGACCTCTACCAGGAAGGTCACAGCGTCCTCTCACAGTTTCCATTAGAGTGAAGCATCAATAGTTTGAGTACAGCGACTGATAGGGTTAGAGGTCTATGAAGCTCTGACGACTGATGTGTCGCAGCCCTCTATAGGCTGTAGGCTCATTGTTGTCGCCTGTACTGTAGTTTCAATCAGCACTTTAAAATTACACTTCTCAGACCTGAGGCAGAGTGAAGGGCCATTGGTGTTTGATCTCCATCCATGTGATGAATTTAGGGTTACCTCTGTACAGTATTCCTGTGTGTTTCATCTGTGTGTAACCTTTATATATAGTTTCCCTTCTTAGCTCCAGTACAGAACAGCTCCTGTTAAAACAGGCATGAATCACGTATCATGACTCTGACTGATGACCATGAGCCAGTGCTTCTCTGATCACATGTCAAACTCGTCAGTTCACGACTGTTCACTTTATACTTCTCTTTTCCTGTCAATCATCACGTCTTTACCGTTCAAAGGGATGAGATAACGATTGTCCATTCATTATTATCGGTTCTCAGATAACACGTCGTTATTTATATAATATAATATATTATAGGAGCCGGGAAAGGAGAAACAAAAGGCAATTTCAGTGATGAAGGACAGTGTTTGTCACATGAGTGTTGGTCACGTATGTATGTCATGTTTTTGTGGTTTCAGGAGACAAACAGCTGGATACAGACTAAAACAGAGAATGGCTTTGTTAAAAAAAAAAGAAGATGCCTGCACATTGGTCGACAAACAGTAACAAAGTACAGATGCATAGTGCAGTGTAGTACACATGTACTATAGTAAAGTGTAGTATCCTTTGATATGATACACTTTTTATATATATAATTTATTACGTCATTGGCGCTTTGGCCCAGAGGCAATGTCTCTGTCATTGGTGTGGAACCCCAGGGTTCACCTCCTGGGCAAGTTCGAATCCCGGTTAGGGCAGTTGGTACCTTCCAGTGGACTCACCACCCGCAGGAAGGTTTGGTACGGTGCAATGTGATTTGGGTGGCGACTGCTGCCCCC